GGGTGCCGTGCCAGCCTGGGTGAGGGGCTGAGGGTCGTTTTCAGACTGGCCACAGCCCCTTCAGGGTGGGGATCCCCACTGGGGTGCCTGGCCAGCCTGGGTGAGGAGCTGATGGCTTGTTGCAAGTTGGCCACAGCCCCTTCAGGGTGGGGATCCCCACTGGGGTGCCTGGCCATCCTGGGTGAGGGGTTGATGTCTGTTTGCAGGCTGGCCACAGCCCTTTCAGGGTGGGGGTTCCTACTGGGGTCCCTGGCCAGCTTGGGTGAGGGGCTGAGGGCCGTTTTCAGGCTGGCCACACCCCCTTCAGGGTGGGGGGTCCTGCTGGGGTGCCTGGCCAGTCTGGGTGAGGGGCTGATGGCTGTTTGCAGGCTGGCCAAGCCCCCCAGCGGGGACCCTCACCCCATGAGGGTGTAGCCATCCTGGGTTAGGGGCTGATGGCTGTTTGCAGTTTGGCCACTGCCCCCAGCCACCCAAGCTCCCAGTGGAGGCTGGCTGGAAGCAGGTATCTGGGGTTTATTTATGTTCTATAATTGAAACTTTATTGTCTTGAGCGGAGGCCACAGCCGGCCAGGGTAGGCTGGAAGCTTAGTTTCCTCTATTGCCGGGGTAACCAGGCCTCCTACTTGCTCCAGCTCCGTGGCTGCCAGCCACCATCTTGTTTGGGTTAATTTGCATATAGTTGCTCTGATTGGCTGGTGGGTGTGGCTTGGGGTGTAGCAGAGGTATGGTCAATTTGCATGTTTCTCTTTTATTAGATTAGATAAATAAATTAGAAAGTACTATTAGCCCAGGCCAGTGTGGCTCAGTTGGTTGGAGCATCAATCCTACACTGAAAGGTCCCAGGTTCTATTCCTAGTCAGGGATGTAACTTGTTGATGTTTCTCTTCTACATTGATATGCTCCCTTCCTCCCTCCCTCTTCCTTTCTCTCTCTCTCTCAAATAAATAAAAACATATCCTCCAGTGAGGACTAAAAAAAAAAAAAAAAGAAGAAAATGTTAAAAAAAAGTATTACTAAAGAAACAGAGATGGCCGCCAAGAGGAGCTCCCTGACCGCACCGGCCTCGCCCCCGCTGCCGGTGCCGGGCGCGGAGGCCGAGTTCATCCGAGCCTTCCACAAACAGGCCTTCGAGTACATCTCTGTTGCTCTGCACATTGATGAGGATGAGAAAGCAGGACAAAAGGAGCAAGCTTGGAATGGTATAAGAAAGGTATTGAAGAACTAGAAAAAGGAGTAGCTGTCATAGTTACAGGACAAGGTGAACAATGTGAAAGAGCTAGATGCCTTCAAGCTAAAATGATGACTAATTTGGTTATGGCCAAGGACTGTTTACAACTTCTAGAGAAGCTGCAACCAGTTTTGCAATTTTCCAAATCACAAACAGACGTCTATAATGACAGTACTAACTTGACATGCCACAATGGACAGCTCCAGTCAGAAAGTGGAGCAGTTCCAAAAAGAAAAGATCCCTTCACACAACCTAGTTATTCGCTGTCTCGTTCAAAGACAGTTATGAAAGCTGGATCCACAGGTCTTTCAGGCCACCACAGAGCACCCAGTTGCAGTGGCTTATCCATGGTTTCTGGAGTGAGACAAGGCCCTGGTCCTGCAACTGCCACTCATAAGAGTACACCCAAAACAAATCGAACAAATAAACCTTCAACCCCTACAACTGCTGCTCGTATAAAGAAAGACTGGAAGAATTTTAGGAACGTGGACAGTAACCTTGCGAACCTTATAATGAATGAAATTGTAGACAATGGAACGGCTGTTAAATTTGATGATATAGCTGGCCAAGAATTAGCAAAACAGGCACTACAAGAAATTGTCATTCTTCCTTCTCTGAGGCCTGAGTTGTTTACAGGGTTTAGAGCTCCTGCCAGAGGATTGTTACTCTCTGGTCCACCTGGAAATGAGAAAACAATCCTGGCTAAAGCAGTAGCTGCAGAATCTAATGCAACCTTCTTTAATATAAGTGCTGCAAGCTTAACTTCAAAATATGTGGGAGAAGGAGAGAAGTTGGTGAGAGCTCTTTTTGCTGTGGCTTGAGAACTTCAACCTTCAATAATTTTTATAGATGAAGTTGATAGCCTTTTGTGTGAAAGAAGAGAAGGAGAACATGATGCTAGTAGATGCCTAAAAACTGAATTTCTAATAGAATTTGATGGTGTACAGTCTGCTGGGGATGACAGAGTACTTGTAATGGGTGCAACTAATAGACCACAAGAGCTTGATGAGGCTGTTCTCAGGCGTTTCACCATGTGTCTTTGCCAAATGAGGAGACACGACTACTTTTACTAAAAAATCTATTATGTAAACAGGGAAGCCCATTGACCCAAAAAGAACTAGCACAACTTGCTAGAATGACTGATGGATACTCAGGAAGTGATCTAACAGCTTTGGCAAAAGATGCAGCGCTGGGTCCTATCCGAGAACTGAAACCAGAACAAGTGAAGAATATGTCTGCCAATGAGATGAGAAATACTCGATTATCTAACTTCACTGAATCCTTGAAAAAGATAAAACGCAGTGTGGGCCCTCAAACCTTAGAAGCACACATAGGTTGGAACAAGGACTTTGGAGATGCCACTGTTTAAGAAAATACCTTTGTAAGCCTACAGAACCTTTTCTTATCAAGAGAGAAACACCATCTTCAGTGAATAGTTATCAGCTACAGAAACTCAGCCTAAGTTTACAGGACTTTTAGAGTCTTACAATTCTTTATGCATCCCAGAAAATAAACCATAAAACAAATTTAAATAAAATATACAATGCAAATGGAATATTTTGTTTAAGGCCTTCTTGCCTTGATAGTAATGGCTATCCCGATGAGCAGGGTAAGTTAGAGCACAATAAACACTGGTTCTGGTCTTCTTTACCAATTTAATCAGAATGTAAATCATAATTTATATATGTGTTGCAGATGAAAGTATTCAGAGACAGTAAAGGGTGAAAGACACAACAGCCATTGGTTGTCTTCTGATGTCTTTTTTTAAAATAGTAATTTTTCCCATTTTCCTCTCCTACTGTTGTCTTTACTATGGGTAATTGGAATGCCAAACATTTTTTTTTTCCCTTTTCTTTTTACAAATTGTGTGCCAAATGAAACTTTTTTCTGTGTAACAGAAATAGGAAAAAGGATTTTGAAGGCTTTTTCTCCATAAAACTACAGACATTAAACAATTGTGTTCTTTTCACTTTTTTATTTTTCTAGTTCCTTTCTACCAAACAATTTATAAAGCAATATGAGAGCAACAAAATAAGTCTAATAAAAGAGGAGAAATTTACAAGTTTTGAGTCACTCTGTCATACAACATGTAGATCAATCCTTGTGTGACCACAGTACTTTTTTAAAAAATATATTTGCCAGAAATCTATTGAGACTGTTAACTTATTCCTAATGGAATTTATTTCCTGCTAGAATTATCCTAATACTTACGAAAGCCAATTTTAACAGCTGTAAAAGTAGTTCCTGTGTGAGAGAAGGGAAGTACTGGGAGCTAAGACATTTCTAATTCATGATTATTACTTTCTTACTG